TTTCGTGTGCGTTTCGAGGAAGCGACCGGTCTCCCCGGAAATTTCGAAGCGAGATTGGGATAACCCTCGAGCGACGCATGTTCGAACGGTGACGCAGCTATTTTTACTTGTCTCTGTTGTCGTCGAGGCGCGTTTATCAGTAATGTTAATTCTACGGGACACGGGGTGGGTCGAAATAATTCGGCATCCGGCTTGTGACGAAGGGAACAATGGGAAATGTGAAGAATACTCGCATAGTGTGTTTTAAATTCAATTGATAAAGGAATGTACAATTGAGTGTTATATTGTTAAAAAAAGGAAGAAAGGGGAATAGGTTAGAAGTTTCACTTTTATATTTTACACGTATATTGTGCTACTTCCTGTTCTCGAAAGTTTCCCTGCGAATTGTATCGACGGGTTCAAAGAAAAACGTTAAGCATAACGAGGTTTGGATACGTCATCCGTGTACGGCTGCCGGGTCTCGTTGCATCGAGGCACAGGTTAGCGCGCACGAAGCGTGGCCAGTGCGCATGCGTGTCAGCCAGGCTGCCCCGTCGTTGAACGGCGTTCACGGCATGTGAGTGTTTCCATAGAGCGGGGAAAACGCGTTCTCGCGCGCGACAGCACGCCACCATCGCCGGTATCGATGACATGCTCGACGAATTGCAGCGGTAGCGTGTGTTTACGTAGGCCAGAGGCGACGGGCCAGTGATAGAGAGCAACCAAAAGGTAAGAGAAGCGTGTATTGGAGGATAGGGCACAGGAAACGAGACGCGCGGCGATGTGACAGCCGGCTGTTGCCGGGTGGGTGTGTGCGTGCCTGCCGTTAATCAGAAAATTTAATTTTCGTGACCTCGTTCCGCGAGCGAACTATACAGTGGCTGTCCTATTTATGCGGCGCGCATGAGCAGCGACACTCGCTCCCCCTGCCCTCGAACGGGATACAGAGGGATGGAAGGGGCAAACGCGTTACCTTGCAACGTTTTCTATCTGGATATGAACGCGCCCGGCGTTTCGATGCATTATCCGGCGTGCACACATACATATACACACGATCTGTTTCTTTGGATGCCGCGATGATTGAGAAATATTCAAGAGTAAAAAGATGTTCGATCGCAAATACTGGCTAGAAGTGAAGGGGACACGAGGGAGGGGTATAATTTACAGCACATGAACAACAGGTTAACAGAAGGAAATAACTGGCGTCTCACGACGCATCTATCGCCCGGCATTAGAGTCACATGATATACGAGTGCGATACCAGTTCGTCGATTTTCGACACGCCTTTCTCAAGTTACGGACGGATAGAATCCGCGAAGCGGTCGTTCGGACGAGCGCACGCGCATGCGCGTGCACTACAAAGTTATACACGCAGAGATACGCCTGTAGATACGGTTGCTGGGAGATACGAGAATTTTTTGCAGATTCGTAGAAAAGCGTAGCGAGCGCAACGCAATAAATACCCCATAAAACGATGGATAGCGCTATTACGGTCGGTCAGGCGTGGCAGAGAAATATACGCAGCCTCGATACCGCTACGTGGGCGCGGTTAGATTCGTAATGAGAGGCACTGGGCTGGTTGTCCGTAAAACGAGGCTCTCTTTTCCTCCCTCTCTCTTTCTCTCTGGCGTGTGTGTGTGTGTGTGTGTGGATGCGGGAGAGGTCGGTTTATGCGCGAAGCGAGTACGGTAGTACTTACTTGCCGGTGCACCGGCTATCGGTGACCCCACGCGGAACGCATTAGCGCAATATCTTTCTACCTCCGTTAGGTAGCTCAGGCGTGACCACGGTTCCATTTCGTGGAAACTTTGCTGCGCACGCGCGCACGCTCTACTCCGGGGAAAAATGAACCGGATCTGGTTAACCGAAGTGTCCGGTTCCGATATTTTTGCGTCCGCCAAACGTTGCCGGGCTGATTTGCACGTGTTCACCGGGAAATCGGTGTACAGAGTACTTTATTGCGGTGGTAAATACGCGTTCTTATCTAATGCCGGTGACATGTAGTTATAAGCACGTTTCGACCAGATATTATTTACAGTAGGTAGAAGCACGATCGCGGAATTATTCTTCTAAGGACGTAATTGGTTCTGTTTATCGAGTGCTTGTGCATTTAGAAACATATAAACTCGGTGGAACTTTTGAATTACAGTTTTTATTAGATGAAGATCACAGGAGGTTAAACATGAGAAATCCTACTTTATCGATTTTCTCATTTTTATGCTATCTGGTGGCTAAAAGGGAATACTTTAGTATGACACGGGTGATTAGGGGAACAAAGTAGGTTTATCCATTGGAAAGGTTTGAATGAATTTATGAAGTTAAGGGTAGCCTAGGAAGTGATTGCCTTATTTGAAAAAAGTCATTATTAACAGGGAAAAATACTGAACTAATGTTACAAAAACATCATTATTTTTTAAATGTTCAAGAGGGTCAAAAAACATATTTAACCACAAAACTACATAAAAACAGTTTCGGTTATATGAGTTATTTTGGTATTAAAATTGCTCCCCTATAAAAAAAATATAAAATCTCACTTATCGTATTCTCCCCTATGGTCTTCACATTTATACAGTCCAATAAAAAACAAAATGAATAATATTCTAAGGGACGTCATACTTTATTTAAAGAAATATCACTTACAAAGCTAGACTTCGACTATAAGTTAAAATATTCGTAACTGTTTAAAAAGGATCATTACTATCTCAATTACTATATGCGTCAGCCATTACGTCAGGAACTAAGATAATTCTGATGAACTTGAGTTCCCATGCGTAAAGATAAAAATGTTTTATAAGAATTTTTTATCACCATCAAAAGTGTAGATCACGATAAATAAAGATCATGCAATTCTTCGCACGTGCCATAGTTGCAAAGTTTATGCCAGATAAAGTCTTGACCCTCCTCATCGTTGTTACGATTAATTCTTAAATATACGTGCACACACGACGAGATATACAACAGCAGCAGGGTGTTCCTTTCATATTATTCTTGTCTTCCTCAATTCGTCCTGATCATCTGTAATCTTTAATCGCCATAATTAATGCGTCGATGGAGTACTCTGACGCAAGTGCTTCTCCACTTCGTTACCTGTTTACACATGCAACACATACAGGAACGTACATGGCTGACTTTTAGTGACGTCGAAGGTTACCGAAGCGTGAATCGGTAAATACTGGACGGCGTTTATCTGTTAGCGCAAGTACGTGTAAGTGGTAATTTTAAAGCTTCCGCACGTTCCGCTGGCTATCGTGCACCTCTTCTCCCGGCAAACATCTTGCATATGCAGTTTCGTAACGTTCTGTCCACGATTCGACACCTCGCCGTCTGACCAGCCTCATGTTAGCCCTGACAATAAGTCAATACGTAGGGTGGTGCTTCACCGACTACTTCTTTCTAGTGGTTACCTTTCAGGGTATTGTTCGCTCGCTGCGCTTACTTTCCATTTCAGAGTTTCAATTTTGGCGCAACGTGACTTGCCCGTCGAGTAATTAAAGGCGCTTTTTTTCTAAAGTATCTAAAGTTTCGTTCAATTTGAAGTAAGTTGAAATTTGAAAATTCCATTCTATTTGTGAAGTTTATTATTTGTAGAGATGTTGCATTTCTATCGACATCATGCGTATCTAGAATGATAATTATAGACGATCATTATCATTTTTATCTTATGTTAAGGAAATCATCAGGGCCACAAGATTGAAATAATTTTATGTTATATACTTACTGGAATATTCATGAGGTCCAGTTATTAGAAGTTGTACTATTGTGATTGATTAATGATCAGTTAATTGCGCGTTTTAATTATCTCAGTAAACGCCGCTTCCTGCGTTCAGAATGCAGTATCATTGAAGCTTCTACAAGTATCAATTCCAGAAATAATTAAATCACAAAGCACTTCGTGATCTGGTAAATTTTTTTTAGGACTTGTTTCGTGAAATTTCCTCTTAAATGTTTCTCTAATTGCATTGCACTTCGTGCTTTTCATCTTGCATGCACGTACAGTCATCGTGAATTTTCTCTGTAAACAAAACGACATAATTGGAAATTTAAAAAATCACCAAAGTGGGTTTCAAATAATTTAAATGTAAAAAAAACGTGCATTTCGTTTCGTGTCTTATACTTGTTTTCCTAAAATTTCTATTATTTCTCAAAAAATAGATAGTTAGGTACATTTGGGACACCTTGTATATACATATAAATCCATCTCAAAGAGACAGTGTGTTTGCCTCCTAAACTTTATGTTACTCGCGTGCTCTCTCTATCCGGATTCCGACAACCCCATCAAACCAACAATATCTCGCAATAAAATCGCCCCTTTTACAAATCTTCCCGGTTATCTCCGTGTATATTCTTATCACGGTTACAATCATCAAACGCGATCACCCTTCTATATATCCAACTATTCGAGTAGCTTCCGAAAAGTCGACACCGGCAGTTTTGGCCGGCCGGTGAAAGTTGAGCGTCACTGATGTGTGCATTTCACTGGGACGAAAAGGTAGCGCAACATTGTACGCGGTAATGCGTTTCGCCGTTAACGGCGCGATCCATCGGCTCTATCTACGGTCACCACGGAAATATCCGACCCGCGGGGCGCATTCGAAATAATGGCCGCGTTTAACGGTGTCACTGGTCAGCGGCACGGGCGTGAGACGATTGAGTAAGAGACACGGTCGATGTGAGCGCGAGCGCGAACGAGCAAACGCTTCGTGCGTGGATCCAAAGATAGATGTCCCGGCACCGGCTGACCGAACCTAACTGGCCCGACTCCTATATACATACAGGCGCATCCGCAACAACTGTTCGCGATGTAAACAAGCGGCTGTATGTATGCGTGCTGGCCTGTCCAGTCGGAGGGGCTGACGTAGTCACGCGGATGTTTCCTTCGTACCACGCGATCGTACGCGCTATCTTGCTGCCGCTGACGCTTCCGGTAAATACACATCTTATCTTCGATTCGTTCTCGTTCCTTTTCTCTCTCTCTCCCCTCGGGTTCATCCTGCGATCCCGACATTAGTCTCGAGGAATCTGGAATGTTTAATTTGTTAGGTCCGCGAAGAAGAAGAAGAAACCTCCCGTCCAACAGCTGCTGACAAACCGATTATATCCGCGGTGTAATTCATTGCTCTAGTTGGTTGCGCCGCGCTCGCCAGCATCAGGTGGCCAGTCTCTCTCTTTTTCTCTCTCTCTCTCGATCTCTCCACAGCTCCCCCTCCCTCCGTCTCTTTTCGTCATACGCTCGTTCGATTCGAGGTTACGAACTCGGCCGAGGGAAACTGATCGTAAAGGGAGGTTGATTGGCTGGCTGGTATCTTTATTCGGTGTGTTCCGCTCGTGTGCTCGGTGTTTACGTTTTAGGTGAAGGATCAGGGTTGCGATCCACGAAGACGGGTCGTGAATTCGCGATGGTCATCAGTAAATTGTAAACTGTAGTTTATCGAATGGGAATTCTGAAAGTTTTTACAGCAATCTTGTTTTATTGTTTGATAAAGCAGAAAGTTTCCTCGCAATCGATGTCGGAATGCAAAGTTCGTGTTGTTGATCATTTTCAAGGTTCTTGCATATACTTCGGCGTAAAATTTCTGATTTTTATTCGATACAATAGAATTGAAATGATATATCCTCGTTTTCTCCTGATACTTTTATTTTGCGTAACGTCGCGCATCGGCGTGCCGGCTCGAGCTGCCGCGCATGCGCACGAGTGCGGCACGGGCTATTTAAAATAGTACTCGAACAGGCCGGAATCTACAGTGCGTGCTCCGTTGCATGGGATTATGTCATACGTGCTTGTACCACTTTGCCGGTAAATAGGTTACGCAAGATGGATCACGGATGGCCACTCTGCATAAGTATTAACTTATAGTCGCGGGCCGGCCGGCGTCTCTGTGTCTGTGCATAGAGCGCTGTACGTCAGTTGGAAACTAGAAGTGATACTGGTTGAATGCAACTATTTTATCGCGGTAAATTGTTCGCGTTGTACATTAATACTATAGCTTCTTTTAACTAGAGAATTTAAAATTTCTTGGGAAATACGATTCGTAGTAAAACGTCATTAGTTTGTTAATTCCACGATTTTAAAGTCAAAACGTGTTTTCGAACGACTTCCAAACGTTCCCTCATTTTACATCCTTTATCTTAATTTATGTAATTATTTTGGGACACGACAGTTTTATTTCACTACTTTCATTTGCAACTGTAGAATAACAGATGGACGAATCTGTTATCTTGGAAAGGTCGACACGGAAAACGGGCATTCGTTTAGCATCTTTAAAAATCGAATCGGTAAAAATCGAATATGCATGAGGGAGAGAGAATGCAGATCGGTAACGAAACTGAGATCAAAATCGACGCTATTATAAGGACCAAATAGTTCAGAACGAAACATTAAGAGAGAGAAAAAAAAAACTTACATTCTTTTCTTATAAACGTTATGTTTCCTTTCCACGCAAAACACAGAGAAACCGAAGTTATGTCATAATTTCGGAGGTAGTGCTCAGGGTTCACCTTTCTCTTCGCAAAGAGTGCTGTGAGCTTGATTTCGGGTTTGGAAACAACATGGCGGTTAGTTGCGTCGACCGACCGTTGGAGGCACTGCATCCTAGCCGATCGCTTGTAAAGTCGGTCATAGAGTTTACAATGCAACGCCTTCTCTCTGCCCGGCTTGTACTATACAGCCTCTCTCTCTCCTTCTCCCTCCCGCCCTTCTTCCGATTTGGTTTACCGCGATTGCGCCCGTGTCGCAATCATTAGCACGCTCGAGTACAATTACCTTGGATATTGGAACAGCTCTATGCCACGATGCAATACATATGCATCGTACACGATCGCCCGCAAGGTTCCGTCGAAATGGGCGCGTAGTACGCGGGAGACGCGTAGACTTTTAATAAGTTACACACGCCGACGTGATGGCATGGAATTGCAAAATGGAACGCGCGTGCCGGTATGATTACCCGGAATCGTCAGTCTTGAATACCATCGGGCCGAAGTAATCGCCGCGATTCGCCCACGCAAGTCTAGCCGGTTGCATGAATACTACTCTCCACTGTTATTTAGACAGTGTATTGACCGTGAACGAAATTTCATTGTCCGCGTGAAAGTAAATCAGCATGCCGCTCGAAATTCGTGCCAAACCGGCGTCCTTGATTCTCGAACGCAACGCACGGAGTATTTAGACGGGTAATTGTTAATCGTTTCGACGAATATTCGGAACGTGAAAGTCAGTCGCGTTACGAAATTGGCACGAAGTGCGAAATCAGCTGATCGTGGGCATAACGCGCGTAAGTTTATGCGTCTTCGCTCCCACTCTGTAATATTGGTCGTAAACGAGTTGACGTAACAATGCAGCACGCGTCATAAATTATGATCGATAATGTAACCTTGTACGCGCGGAGGTAACATATGGTAGAATATACATCGTCTCTGGGACTTTCTAACAATTTCTGTCAATAATACCGAACGAGAAGTGCAGCACACGCGCTACGACAACGCCATAGTAAAACTTCACAAAGCAGTACTTATCTTTACTATCCAATTCATCATTTCCAGTCAGGCTTCTTGGCGACTAATTAATCAAATGACCAAGTAGACATACGTCTATTCCACGAAATGATCAGATCGTGTTAGTAATGGTAATGAATTTTCGCATTCGTCATTCGAGATTCGAAAAGAACACGTTCAATTGTACAACATAGAAACCGTATGGCGTGTTCCGTAGCCAGTGGAGTGAAGCCGACTTCGCGTGGTTCGATGGTGCTGCCCCTAGCGAGCGAGTGGCCAGTGCCACGAAAAGTTAGTACGCGTGCCGTACTGCATAGGACGCGCGAGGACGCGAGGAAAAGTGGCGCGTATCTGCTACACCGAGAGAAAAGCGAGGTCGGGCCTTTCTCAGAAAAGTAGGTCGAGAAGGTACCGATCGTGTACACGGACGCGTGTAGCGTTCCACGCGCGCGAGATTCACAGGAAAGGTATCGTGTGTTTTGTTCGTCCCTGTAGCAAACGCGCGTGCAATGCATCCCGTCGACTCTCACGGACGCGGTGAAGTATTGGGAAAACGGGAGAAAGAGTTCTCCCGCGCAGAGGCGTCGATTGAGACTTGTTTCGCAGCTCGTTACGCCGCTGTTATTTCCCGCTGTTCTATGACTTTCCAACGTAGCGATCTTCCTACTACGTGGAACGAGATAGGTGGCCTTCTGTGTGATCGATCGAACGATTTCCATCGGCGAAAAGAATTTTACTCGAGGAGTAGGTGGCCACGAGAATTACATACCAAGTACCTTATTGGATGTCGTGTGTCGGATGATTTAACGAGACGGATGAATAAATTACTCCTACGAGCGTGGTTACCAAGGTAAGGCGTGTTCAGCTATTTACATGGTGGAAATAAAAAAAAAGAAAAGAAAAATAAACAATTATTAGCTGGATGATCTGACCGGGCGTTGAATAATCGATCGACGAAACACCGTGATTACACCTTTTCCACGACCATTGTGAGAGACAAGGTGCTTGCGTGTGGGTATCTATGGAGGTTTCGAAACACGTGGGACGGTGCGATCTACCTTCGGATATCGTTTTTCCCCGGAGGGAGAGAAAGATTTATCGATCGAACTGTCCTATCAGCTTTTAGCTGAGAGAATCAATTGCTAAATATCATCGAACACATAGCATAGATCGTGCTGGATCGACCATCGTTTCCATAGTATCAATATATTTCCCATGATGCATCTCTCTTCTCCTTTTCTGTACCCAGTTCGCACTTCTCCGTCTTTCGTT